ACAGGTCCCTGCCATCATGCTGACTAATTTTTGTATTTTTAGTAGAGCCAGGGTTTCACCATGTTGGCCAGGCTGGTCTTGAACTCCTGACCTCAGGTGATCTGCCCACCTCGGCCTCCCAAAGTGTTGGGATTAAGTTGAGTAGGCATGAGCCACTGCATCTGGCCCAAATGAACAATTTAGATGAGAATTTTCCAGAGGGACAGATTATGAAAAAGATCAGATAAGAGGGGTTCCTCTGTGTGTGTGTGTGTGTGTGTGTGTGTGTGTGTGTGTGTGTGTGTTAGGAATGGAAAGAAACTAAATAGAAGATAAAATTGTGTGAAGGAGGAAAGCAGGTATGGGATGGTTATGGGAGATACATTGATGCAGAAAGCAGAAGCCAACTAGGCAGTTCTTGTAAAATAAGTTTGTTCTTGTCTTAAGAGCAATGGGGGAAATGGAGAGGATTTCAAAGCCTTTAAGTCAGAGAGCTTCAGGTTAATATGTACATTTTAAAGTGCTCACTCTATAATAATGGAGAATGGATAGTAGGGGTGAGGTGAGCAAGACAGGAGGCAGAGAACCAGTTAGAAGTTAGAAGGCTTGGCCGGGCGCGGTGGCTCAAGCCTGTAATCCCAGCACTTTGGGAGGCCGAGACGGGCGGATCACGAGGTCGGGAGATCGAGACCATCCTGGCTAACATGGTGAAACCCCGTCTCTACTAAAAAAATACAAAAAACTAGCCGGGCGGGGTGGCGGGTGCCTGTAGTCCCAGCTACGCGGGAGGCTGAGACAGGAGAATGGCGTGAACCTGGGAGGCGGAGCTTCAGTGAGCTGAGATCCGGCCACTGCACTCCAGCCTGGGCGACAGAGCGAGACTCCGTCTCAAAAAAAAAAGAAGTTAGAAGGCTTTTAAAGTCAACCACCAAATGATCTCCTGTACACTAGAGGAGTGGCAATGCTAATAGATGAGATTAAGAGATAGATAAAAGGAAGGGAAAGAAGAACATGGTGATGTTTTGACTTTAAATTGTAGTGAGGGAAAAGGGGAGGGGGCATCAAAAGGACAACGAGATTCCTGATTGCCCAATACCATGCCGTGGTGCCTTTTACTGAGAAGAGGTTTCTAGAAGCAGTTACAAATATGCCAGGTTTGTCTTAATAGTCAGACTTTTAAGTAAAGTATTTGATCTAAAAATTATTGTTTTAAAATTTTACATGTGGGTAATATGGCTCCCTCTAAATCATACTTCTTCATTTTAAATTGGCCTTGGTAGTAGAAGATACGTTGTGTTTAAATTTTGAGAGAGACACATGAAAACTATGTGACTTACGGTAAATTACTAGACTTCTCTGCAAACGCGTTTCTTTATCTGCTGACTTTGGATAATTTCATCTAACTTGCTAGATTGTTTTGAAAATTCAAAAAGATTACGTATAGAAAGGGCCAGTCACGGAAGGGTTAGCACTGAGTCCTTGTCCTCATTCTGTGTTGATGTCCTTACCATTTCAAATTCATCATATATATACGTGCACACACACATAAATGTATATATTCATGTTATATACACACATATATGAGTACATACAAATAAGTGTATATAATATTAGTGCATATAAATTCATGATAGAGATATATGCGGCCGGGCGCGGTGGCTCACGCCTGTAATCCCAGCACTTTGGGAGGCCGAGGCGGGCGGATCACAAGGTCAGGAGATCGAGACCACGGTGAAACCCCGTCTCTACTAAAAATACAAAAAATTAGCCGGGCGCGGTTGTGGGCGCCTGTAGTCCCAGCTACTCGGGAGGCTGAGGCAGGAGAATGGCGGGAACCCGGGAGGCGGAGCTTGCAGTGAGCCGAGATCGCGCCACTGCACTCCAGCCTGGGCGACAGAGCGAGACTCTGTCTCAAAAAAAAAAAAAAAAAAAAAAGAGATATATGCAAATATACATATATAATTATTCTGATATGTATGTATATTAGAATAGTGACTTCCAACGATGTCTACAAGCTGATCCTTCAAACTTGTGGATATGCTACTTCACATGGTAAAAGGGACTTTGCAGGTATGATTGAGGTTAAGGACCCTGGGATGGAAAGTTTATTTTGAGATTATCTGGGTGAGTCTAAGGTCATCACAGAAATCCTTCAAAGCAGATAACATTTCCCTGTTGTAGTCAACGAGCAAGAGACAGATGATAGAGCAAAGGTCAGAGAAATGCAAACTTGCTGGCTTTGAAGAAAGAGGAAGGCAGCCATGAGCCAAGGAATGCAGATGACCCCCAGAAGCTGAAAAAGACAGTGGGACGGATTCTCCATTAGAGGTTTCGAAAAGAAACACAGCCCTGCCTGCCAACACTTTGATTTTATCCCAGCGAGAGTGGACTTCTGACCTACAGAACTGCTGAACAATAAAATTGGTTTTTTTTTTTTAAAGCCACTAAGATTGTTGCAATTAGTTGCATCAGCAATAGAACGATTATATATTACATATTTGTATTAATATAATTAAACTTTATATAAGCAAAAGTGAATGGCAAATTTTGAAAATAGGACACAAGATGATATTTGGAGACAGCTGAATAAGAGGCCAGAAACTATATGTACCCTGTACTCCTCATAAACTTGTGCTCCATAACTTCTGACCTCGAGTGAACATATCCATGGGGACTTGACCTTTGAGTTTCTCTCTCTTCTGTTTCACGGGTGTTTTCATAACTTTCTACCTCAGCAGACATGTTATGAGATTTTTAGATGTTTCTTTCCTATTATCCCACACCAGGAAATTGTAGCCTTGGCATGTGCATTCCTATAAGCATTTGAGTAGAAAGCAAGCCTTGGCCTTTCTACTTGAGTCAAGGGTGGGTGAGAGGAAAGTGGTATTGAAGAGGCATATAATGAGGAGGAAAGTTAGACTAGGAGTAAATTCTGGGGCTGTGTCTTTGCCTCTTGCCCATCCCATTGGAATGTATCCTAGGTTCCATGTCTTCCCTTGACATCTCCCACTCTCCCCACATAAATAAACTTCAAAGACATCTATGATATGTTATGAAGGCTATGAAGAGCCAATGAATACTCTGCTGAGTGGTGTCATACAATAGAAGTTCAAATATATTTGTTAGTCAAATGAATGCATGGGTTGCATATATTTTAATTTAAACGAGAGAGCTTTAAGGAGCCATGAAGCTAAACAAAAACTTGTTTTATTGTTATTGTCCAAAATTACATTTTTTAAGCATTACATTTTTAAGGGCTGATTCCCCCCTCCCCCAAATACTACCAGTTTGATAATTTTTGTAATTTTAGAAACATTTTTAAAAGTATAACAATTTATAGTAGAGGGAAATACTGCTTTCAGGGCCCAAGACTCTAGGTAATAATTGGCAGCATCCAATTTTTTCTTCTCCATTAGCAGTCCCTAGAGCTTCTGGGGAACAGAGCATCTTGCAATCTAGATTCAGCCACTGTGCAGAAGCTCTTTGAAGTCACATTAGGGATTTGGTTTTCTAGTAGAACCATTATCTACCATATCGTATACTAGAAAATGCTTATAATGTCACATTGAGATTTCTTTAAAGGGCCATTATATATAGTTCTTATTTCTTTTGTTGCTGGTCGATGGTAACTGAGCTTAATATTAATGTTGTATTCACACATGATCACAAGTACCATCGCTTTCATTGAATTGGCCGTTTAATCATTTCAATAAAAAAATCATACTAACAAACATGTTTTCTCATAAAATTAAATGTCCTTCCCCCCAAATCACCTGAATGATCTATTCTGGCTCTCTTTAGATGAAGACTAAATTAGGGATAAAAGCCCCAGACTCAGCCACACTGAGAAAGAAACCACCTAACTACAGGGATGGGGAACCACTCCCAGTTTCTCTCTCTGTTGAGAGCTGTTCTGTTGCTCAATAAAATTATTCTCTGCCCTCCTCACTCTTCAATTGTCGGAGTATCCTTATTCTTCTCAGAGGCCAGACGAGAGCTCAGGAACCACTGGATGTGTGTAGAAACTGTAGCACAGGTGAGCTAGGGCACATCCAGCACAGCTGCGGGCTGAACCTGTGTGCAAGCCAGACTCAGCCTGGGTGGGCCAAGTGGGTGGGGCACCTCCTGCAGCAGGTAGCATGTCTGAGTGAGACCCAGGAGCGTTGCCAGCCAGAGGTACCCAGCTGGCAAAAAGACCAAGTAAAATCCTGCGTCATTTTCTGGGGGCTTGTAATAAATGTGGACCCAAACCCTCTTTCACTTTCATTTCTGCGCCTTCTGGTCCTCAGACGTTTTCTGAAAACAGATGGAGCACCGATTCTCTGTTAGCCAGTTAAGAACGAGTGATGGCTGCAGAGGAGGCTGTCACCTACCACCTTTGCCCTTGGAGATGAGAATATCGGCTTTGTTCCAATCCTGTCTTTTCTAAGGCATTTTCCTTCTTTTTTTGTGGCACCTGTCTCTTCTTTATATACAATATTGGGGGTGTTTTGTAAAAACTGCTTTACCACTTCTTTGAAAGTACCTTGTACACTCATGGTTAAGTCATAACCTTAATCGAGGCCTATTGGTTTCACCTGTGAGGTAAAGTTAAAAGCCAGAAATACTGGTTGCTTGGTGGGGCTAAAGTAGAGCAATAAGGGATTTAAAAGAATTTTTGTAAATAGGTCTATGGTTAACATGCAGCTTAATTAAAAGTGGTTATCCAAGCTACGGGTATATTTAAAAGGCCTTTATGGCTTTTTGTTTTGTTTGTTCTCTTCTTGGATCTTGTTTTGCTGGAAAAATGGTTTTGTTTTGTTTTGTTTTCTCAGTTGGCTAAACTATTTGTCTCCATTTTGTCTTGCCACTCTTAATGCACACATGAGAGGCCCTAAGATAACTTCTAATAGCCTGGTTCTGTTTGGGAAAAACAGAGAAGATGTCACAGACCCCATTTTGTGAAAAAAGTCTGTTTTCCTCATGGAACTCCACGAATTAAAAGTGGATGGATCCCTCTCAAAAACTAAGGCTCTGTTAAATCATATGCTTTCCTAGACTTGTTTCTTGAAGGGCTCCAGCCTGAGATGAATAATCCAATTAGGAGACTGGCAAATGAATATTTGTACAACCAGTGGATCTTCTTCTATCTGTCTGTAAGTATCTATGTATTATGTGTGTGGTGTTTATATTAAAAGAGCTCTAATTAGTTGGCTTAAAAAATAAGAGCTTAGATCAAATATTTTTAAAGGAAAAATAAAAGCTCTGATACCTTTTAGTTTATATAACTTTAATATTGTTTTAATGATTATTGGTAAAATACAAATATATTCAAAATGTAAATATGGGGTCTAAATTATGTAGGTCAGATACTAGGTTTGATACATGCTTTAAGGTCATAAACTGCTTCTTTGGGTTTTGAAAATTGTTCAACTTGTCTGCTTTACAGTTTGGTAAGGTCTGTGGACATATGGAATTAACCACACCCCTAAATATGCTGGAAAAAGACCTTATCTGTGCTTAGTACATAATTAAAATAACTGGGTTTTACACCAAAATTAAAAATTGCTAAGAGTTACCATTATAACACGTAATTAAGACTACAGAAAAAAGATTTATGTGCAAGATTTGTAAGGAAAATAAAATGTGTCTTTAGTAAAAGATTATAAGAAGGTATGATCATAAGAAGGCATGGGAATGTAGATTTTTGCCTAGTTGAGAGGGTTAAATGATTGTCTTAAATTAGATAAGATAAAGCTAAAGGTTTAAACAAGTTGTGGAAAGTTTGTAAAAATTAACCTTGTAAAAGAAATTCTGTGTGTGAATATATTGACTAAATTCAAAAGTGTATTTTTTTTCCATAAATTAAGCATTGAAATAAAAGCACAACAAGATTTTCTTAAGGCACTTATCTGCTCTTTAACAGAAATTGGTAAGGGGTTATAAAAGGTTTATAAGAATCTCATCTCATTGTCAAACTAGCTAAGATTATATAGAATTATAATACAATAATAATAATATAATGCAATATAATAAATTATTATATTATAGTTTATTATATTTAAAATTGTTAAAAATTTAAAATAATTTTTTTAAAAGTTCATTTAAAAAATTGATGTTGACATTAATAGCAGACAAATGCAAGGGTGGAATTTGGCTTTCTTTTCTCTCAAACAAGATTTTCACATAACATTAAAGGATAATGAAGGATTCTTGTTTGTCTTGAGAATAAACTATCAAAAAAGGAAGGGAAAGACAAGAGACAGATTGTTTGGAAAGCTATGTCTTCCCTCTTAATGAGTAAAAAGTTTTTCCCCTTTGTAAAAAATGTTTTGAGTCTTCTTTTGACCAAATGGATGAATTATGGTAACCTGGAATTCCATTTCACAATATCAAGGGTTTTAAACCTTTAACATATTTGATAGACTTTCTAAAATCAAATTTCAGCTTCAAAATTGTCTTTCCTGATCTCTAACTTTTGGATACTACAGAGGGCCCCTAGAGCACCCAAAGAAGAGGTAAATAGAATTATTTGACATGTTTCGTTACACAAGATTGCCAAAATAAAAATAAGGTTAAATCTTCTTTGGGTTATATTTTAGTGAATAATATTAATATATGTTCCAAATTACATGGGATTTCTAAAATTCTAATGTCTCAGTATATGTTATCAATCATAATGAGGTTATTACATTAAGTTATTGTAATCCACAGAAATAACCACATTTCTTTGTCAATTCTGTTTTTGACTGTAACTACCCTGGACATTTTGTCATTCACAGACAATTGTTGTCTTGCTTTGATCCTTTTCAAAAGATGGTTTATACAGGACTTTCACAGGTGCTCTTAAATGCAAGTTTCTGATATCTTTGGAGATTGTGACATTAGAATAAAAGAAAAACATTCAGACTCACCAAGAGCTGAAACATTCATGAATATCAAGCAGAACAAGAGTTAACTGAATGGACTGAACTAACAACTGAAGCCATCTTTTTAAACTTTTTGCTTAAAACATTGCTAGTGCTTGTTTTGTTTTTCAGAGTCAAGAAAACTTTTGAGCTATCTGTAGTTTTGTTTGTTTGTTTGTTTGTTTTATGAGACGAAGTCTTGCTCTGTCATCCAGGCTGGAGTGCAGTGGTGCAATCTTGGCTCACTGTAACCTCTGCCTCCCGGGTTCAAGCAATTTTCCTGCCTCAGCCTCCCAAGTAGCTGGGATCATGGGTGCCCATGACCGCACCCAGCTAATTTTTGTATTTTTAGTAGAAACGGGTTTTCACCATGTTGGCCAGGCTGCTCTCAAACTCCTGACCTTGTGATCCACCTGCATCCACCTCCCAAAGTTCTGGGATTACAGGTGTGAGCCACCACGCCTGGCCTGCAGCTTTTAACAATTGAGTAAGGTATACTCCTGATAACAAAATTTGGGGCATATTTGTTTCTCTCGCGTGGTTTCAGTAGAAGTTGGAAACTATTTGTGAGTATTCTTAACTTATGGCAATATGATTAGTAGGATAGGTGCAATAAGAATCCATTTTCTTTTGCAACAGGACACAATTGGAGAAACTGGTTGTTTTACTAAGACTTTGACTGGAAGGGTGTGCTTGCCTTTAAGGAATCAAGCTTGACTTGCAAAGCCAATAAAAGCCACGTGGGAAAACTGGCTTCATATCTTGTCTACACTGTCCCTGTATAGGGTTCCTAACCTGTGGTAAGTAAGGAATGTCACTTTCTAATATGCCCAGGAACCCCAAGCTGTCTTGGGACCTCAAGAAGGGAGGAATTTACTCAACTAATAGTAATCTGAGGGTATGAACCCATGGCTGGGCTCAGCTTTAGAAAGTCTAATCCGATATTCCTTATGGAACAGAGTTCCATCAAAGCCAATTTAAAAGCCTATGTGAAAAATTATTCTTGCTGTGCTTTTTTTTGTTTTAACAAATATGAGGACTGGAGAGAGAAAAGCTATGTTTCAAGTCTTATCATACACTTGTCATTAAATTCTAATCTCATAAAAATGCCCAAAAACATACAAAAAAGATTAGGTACTCAGTTTTCTGTGAGATTTAGAATTAGAATGTTAATATTGTTTTTACCAAAATTATGAATATTTCAAACCTGCAGAAAAGTATAATCTTCTAATAAGAATCAATCTGCCCATAACTCATTGAAAACCGCTCCTCAATTTGCCTTATTTTGCTTCACATGACTTTCTCTCTTTTTGTTCAATAAGGAAAACATTTCAGATGCAGTTCAAGTCCCAATGTATCCATTCTGGTCACATTAACTCCCCTGCATTTCCATAGGTGACCATTGTCATGAATTTGTTCTTTATTATTCTCATGAATATTTTATACTTTTCTATCTATGGTGTGCCTATAGTCAATGAATAGAAACATTTTGGTTTCTTATATAAAAGATCATTTGCTGCATAATCTGAAACGTGCCTCTTTTACTCATATTGTTTGACTGAGGTTTACCCATGTTGGTAGATGCTACTGTAATTCAATCATTTTATCTTTATATTATAAAATATATCAGTGGGTACAGATGCAAGATTTTATCAATTCTCCTGTAACACTCTATTGTTAATTTTTCAATGTTGCAATGATGTAGTTCTTGAAAATACCTCCTTGTGTATATGTGTGGGAATTCCCTATAAAGTGCTTACACAAATGGAAAAGCAGGATGATGGGATAAGTCCACCTTAAAATTTACAGGATATTTTCAAATTGCTTTTGAAAGGGACTGTATTTGTTTATACTCCTAACATCAGTGTTTGAGAATTTCAATTCTTCCATATCATTATGGACACTCAGTATGGTCAAACTTTAAAATTTTTTGCTTAATCTAGTGATTCTGAACAGCATCTTAATAAATGCTAGCAGGAAGTTGACTACCTTCAGTTCAAGTCTCATACTCGTATTTTTGTAGATAATAAACTGTAGCCAAGATGAAAGCAACTTGTTTAACTTCATAGACATAGTTAACAACAGAATTAAGATGAGAACAGAAACTTGAATTCAGAATTCAATTTGCAAATTCACAGATTTCAGTAAACATATTTGATTTATAGCAAGAAGAATATATATATATAGAAAAAAAGTAGTCACCTTTAAGAATTTTATTCTATATTTTTATTATCTTATTTCTTCCTCTCTACTTTTAGTACCTAGACAGATCCTGAGCCTTTGAATCATAATTACATGTTCATGATCTTAAATAATCACCTAAATTTGATTTCATAATAAAAATGAATTATTGAATATCACCCATTAATCTCTTTGAAACAATAAATTTAAGAAGTTATTATTCTGGAGCTAATCACATTAAAAATAAGGCATTGTTTTTGATTTTTAAATTCCATTTTATATAACACTGAACAATAGATGTCACTCTTTTGCCAATAAATATAACTATGAAATTATTTCATTTGATTATTTTTCTTCATAAACAGTTCTGGTGCTGAAAAGATAAGTTATAAGGTTCTGGTAGAAAAATCTCAAATAGTGGCAGGAACCTTTAAATATTAATATCTGCTAGTGTTTTCTCTATGAAACAAATTAATATACTCAAACCATTACTTTCTGAATTATTTTAAATATAACCAATCTAAAATTGCTGATTTTATGCCTTTCTATTAATGTTCTCAGAATTAGGTGTCATTAAAAGGAAAGTTAGAATGAGGTTATTTGAGAAATATATGCCCGACTCAGGAAAACTTTCAGAGTATAATTAATTATATTTTAAGTTTGTGCAATGTCTAGTAGTTCACTTGATAGACAGGGAATCCATAAAAATGGAAATCAGGGATAGAGAAGCCAAGAAAGAAGAAGTATTCAAAATAATGCAATTGGGGCCAGTTCTGAGGCGTGGTTAAGTGATAGATTGTGTTCCAGATCTTGTGGCTGAGGTCAAGGACACATTCAAAGTTTTATCAATTTTACCTAAACAAATCAGATTTTTTTAAGAAGCTGAAGGCAAGTTGTGAAGGTGTTAGCAATAGGAAGATGACCTATTGAAATGACCTAGAGAAACAGTGGGGTGCATTTGAAGATTGTTTAAAGACAGTGCATTAATTTAAACCTGGGCATGCTATGAAGAAAGGTTAGGTCAAGGAAGAAGAAAAATGTTAAGGAAATGTTAACATCTGTTTCATTGATTGTGACATACTCAGCTAAAACCCTAGCTGCCTGTGCTTGATGCCAAGAAAAACACATGAATTCAGAAAGTTTGGTGAATGAGCAACAACCAGGACCTAAATCTAACAAGCTGTATATTCTAATTACATTTTTAAAGTGGTTTAGGATTTAAGAAGCACTTTCACATTCATTATCCTAGCTGCTTTCTGACTCTTCAGTCCTTTGCAATTGGACTTCTGAACCAACAATTTCATTCAAGCTGATCTCTCAAAGTTTATTAATGGCCTATATATCGTCAAAACCATTGACCTGCTCTTAAGCCTTTATTCTACTAGATCACTGATTTTTATTTTCTTCTTAACATAGTTTACTCTCTCTGCCCTTTGAATTCTCTCCTTCTTTGCTTTCTGTACCACTTTTCTTTTTTTTCCCCTGGTTTTTCTTCTAATTCACTGACCTCTCCTTCTTATCCTCCTTCACTCATAATTTGTCCACTATCTTGCACCTTAAATTATTTGTTTTTCTCAGGTTTCTGCCTCTAGTCCTTTTCTCTTTCAATACTTCTGTGGGTGATTGTGTTGATGAGGATTTGAGCCATTTTATGTACAAGTCTTCATTCAACAAATATTCATTTTCTAGGTGCTATTCTAGATGCTGAGAACACAGATGTCAAAAGAATAGCAGGGCCTCTTTTCTCAGTCTTTTATTTCTAATGGGGGAAAGGTCATGCGTAGGAATATGTTGAATTATTGGCTGATGTGTCTATACCTTCATCAGTGCTACCCTCACACTTCAAACACAATTTATTGTATTTTCAGCCCTTACCCAACAGCTAGGAAAATATGGGATTGTGTCTTTCAGGGAAAAAAATCAGGGGAAAACAAAGGGGTCAATATTTTATTTTTTAGTGTTAAAATAGACTTTTGGTACTGAAAATAGAGATTATGATCTTGAGAGAAAAGGCTTTTAGAAGTGCAAGAGGGTGAACTTTTGTTTTTCTGAAGTATAATCTTACAAGACACAGGCCATAAAGTTTATTCCATAAACAAATTTTTCTTGCTTTCCTACTCAGATAAGATCCCAATGGTTATAGAATGGAAGAGAACAAGAGAAGGATCATAGAGGGACAACTGTTGTCTTGTGTTCTTTTTTTTTTTCTCTGGGCCATATCTTACAGGGTTGTGGTAAAACCCTACATTAGTTTAAGTCCTGAAAGAGTGAGCTAACCCATGCTCACATTCCTGGTTGTGTTCCTACATTCTGGCAGGTTCTTCACGGGTGTTGAGAGAGTTGCATGTGGTCAAGCAATGGCTAAAGCCAAAGATACAGAGCCTCAGGAAATATCTCTGGTAGGTGGCAGGAGAGAGTTAAAGGTTTTCCTATAGAGCTGAGTGAGACACAGACGTGACAGCAGATGCCAAAATACCTAAAGAAACCCTGTGGCTAGGTTAAAGGAATAGCATTAGCTAGTGATGGTGGAGTTTCTTGTTGGGGGTCAAACTGAAAAGCTGAATACAGGTAGGTGCCAGTGTAGAGATATGACCCCTTATTATAAGGATGCCCTCTCTCACCACTCATATTCAACATACTATTGGATGTCCTGGCCAGGCCACTTAGGTGAGAGAAAGAAAAAAAGGACATCCAAATAGGAAGAGAGGAAATAAAACTATATCTGTTTGCAGACATGACCCTATACCTAGATAAACCCATAGTCTCAGCCCAAACAGTTCTTAAGTTGATAAACAACTTCAGCAAAGTCTCAGGATACAAAATCAATGCACAAAAATCACTAACATTCCTATACACCAACAACAGTCAAGCCCAGAGTCAAATCAGAAATGTACTCCCATTCACAATTGCCACAAAAAGAATAAAATACCTGGGAATACAATTAACCAGTGAGGTAAAAGATTTCTAAAAGGAAAAGCACAAAACACTGCTCAAAGACATCAGAGATGACACAAACAAATGGAAAAACATCTCATGCTCATGGATAGGAAGAATCGATATTGTTAAAATGACCATATTGCCCAAAGCAATTTCTAAATTCAACACTGTTTCTATTAAACTACCAATGGCATTCTTCACAGAATTAGGAAAAAAAATGATTTTAAAATTCATTTGGTACCAAAGAAGAGCCCAAATAGCCAACACAATCCTAAGCAAAAAGAACAAAACTAGAAGTGTCATGTTACCTGACTTCAATCTATGCTACTAAGCCACAGTAACCAAAACAGCATGGTACCGGTACAAAGATAGACACATAGACCAATGGAAACGAATAGAGAACCCAGAAATAAGACTACACACCTACAACTATCAGATCTTCGACAAACCTGACAAAAACAAGCAATAGGGAAAGAATTTCCTATTCAATAAATGGTTCTATGATAACTGGCTAGCCATATACAGAAGATAGAAACTGGACCCTTTCAGTTTCAACCTTATACCACATACAAATACACATACAAAAATTAACTTACAGCTGGGCATGGTGGCTCATGCTGTAATCTCAGCCCTCTGGGAGGCTGAGGCAGGAGGATCACCTGTGATTGGGAGTTCGAGACCA